TCATTTTATTTACTGAGATGAAAAGCTTGGTGGCAGCCTACATTAGCTCTCATGTGCTTCTCTCCAGCCCTCATTTCACCCATATGACGAAGGTTTGCACTGACCTTTCTAGGTATCAACATAGAAAGAAAGTTATGAAAGTTCAAAATTCTGTCTGAGCAGAATTGCTGAATTTGTTCCATAATGATAGGCTAGAAAATAACTATGGAATGATGTACATAATAGTTATTTAGAATCTTTTCATCAATATGGGTATATTTACAACCCAAAAGACAATTTAAGTCTGTAATTAAGTACATCTGTATCTCTTTTAGAAACAGTAACACATAAGCAAACATTGCTCATTGGTATGGTATTTATTTGACCACTAAAGCAACTGGACTTTTTTTTTTCAGCTTCTGTAACAGTATAAGAGTGTCAAGTATCTCCTGCCACCATCATGCCCTTTCATTAATTCTGATCTTTTATTATTGGTGAAACAAATTATTACAGTGTTCTAAGAATTGTTCTATGTTGATTCTCATTGCTCATCATCTCCATCATTTTCTGTTTTATTATCCTTAGAGATGGTTTGTTGGACTGATATTTTGCGGCCCTTATATAACGTAATTATATTGGTTTTTTAGCCAGTCATTTTGGTACATTTATAGCTCTATCATATCAAAAATAGAGATGCTCTGTAGGATCTTCTGGTATTGTACTTATAAAATATGTCTTGCTCTCTTTACTTCTTTCTTGGAAGTCAAAATTCATGGCCAAGTAAAACTACCTACATCTGCCACATTTATGATAGTGAAGATCTCCAAATTTAAATTCCAGTTTTAAAGGAAACAAGTTATCGTTCCATTGCTCTTGGGTGCTGCAAGGTTTTTACTAGTTCATGTCTCTTAACCCTCCTCTCTGCCCAACATCTGTGTCACAGAGCTTCATGTTATTCAAAACATTGTAAAATATATGAGAATTAGTGATATGTTGGACCAGATGCCTCACAGATGTTTTTCTTTTGCTTTGCCATTATCCCCTTTCTGCATGGTTAAAAAATCAAGAAAAATATTGATCCTCCTTTACATCTAACAGCATAGCAAAAAAGCTCCAGGTGGTTTGACAGTAAAATAAATAATTTTTCAGCCTTTTTCCTATTAGTGTTTTATCTGGGTTAATGGGAAGATGCTCTGATGCACACATTAAAAGTTATCTGTAATTGGTTCTTAGATAGCTTGTCTCTTTCGTGGAAATGTTTTTTTTTAGTCTTTGCACAGTTCTTCCCCAGCTTCATCAGGTCTTGGAAATACATTGTTCAATAACAATATTTTAAAAAGTGTGTATATTTGTAATTATTTTATTACAGTATGGATTTAAAAGCTTTAAATAGATCAGACTTGTCAATTAACTACTTAGAAGGGCTAATTAAGTCTCCTCAGTATAATTCTGAATTTTTCAAATTTTCTGCAAAAAAGGTAGCATTTTTTGATGTACAGAATTCATATATTCAAAGTTCTTTTTT